TGTGGATGTGGGGGGGGGGGGTGTGTGGGTGTAGGGGTGTGTGTGTGGTTGTAGGGGGGGTGTATGTGTGTGGTTGTAGGGGGGTGTATATAATTATTAAATTAACCAACACAAATAACTAAAATATCAACCAAAAAATGAAAACAAAAGATCAGGACTAAGAGAACTAAATGAATACTAAAATAAAAGCAAAAAGACAAAAACAGACCACATCCAAAAACAAGGAGCAAGACAAGAACATAGAATTATAAGAGACAAGACTAGGGCAAGACTAGAGCACAATATCAAACAGACAGGGAGACAGGGAGACAGGAAAACATAATCAGCCACATCCACAGACAGCGACAAACACAGTGAGGGAAAGAATGACCACGAACCAGCAAAGACAATAGGGCAAGGGGCACTATAAATAGGGAGGAAAACACACGAGGAACAGGTGAGAGCAATTACACTAACAAGGACTCAATGAGGGCTAACAAGAGGGTGTGGTAATGAGGAAACCAGGAGGAGGGGCTAACGAAGCACATGGCTGAGAAAAACAATCAACTAGGCCATGTGCTGACAAGACAACATAGACACAAGAAACAAAACACAAGACAACCAGAGTGTCAGGGCAAAACCCTGACAATTGTGGTCTACAGAGCGGCCTGAAGTGTGCATATGAAGCAGACTCGCTCCCTCTGTCAAAATCTAGGGGTCGATGGTATGTCCATGTAAACTTCCCACGTCCACTTGATGAAGTGGAATGCATTTCAAAATGGCAGCGGGGATTCCCCTGAGGGTAAGTGCTTAGGGAAGTTTGCGAGTGCGTGTCTAAAAGTGAACTGGACCGCAGCCCAAGTCTGCAGCCAGACCCTTCTCGAAAGAGCTGCGGGTTGCCGATCCCTGCCTTAGACTATATATAAAGCACGGCGTTAACCTCCTCTCTGCAAACTCGCTTCTGTCTGCAGGCAAACAGAGAATTTCAGGCATTGCCATCAGAGATTCACCATGAAACATCTTGTTTTTCTTCTGTTACTTTCTTCTGTGTGTTTCTTAGCTTTGAGTGAAGTAGTAGATAATAATTTCAGTAAATGCAAGGAGTTCTTTTTGAACACCGCGCCTCCTGACTTCACACCACCATGGGGCGTCTCAGTCAAGCCCATCTGTCAGTGTATTTGGGATAACAATGATAAACAAATGTATATTTATGCAACTTTGTACAGCACTAAACAAATGTATCTTTATGCAACGTTGTACAGCACGACCTGGAAGATCCCCGTCTACTCCGCATATGTGTTTCGTGAAAGCAAAAGTATTGGGAGATGTGATGTCTGGTACATTGAACCTCAGGTAAATATTGTTTAAGTTCATATTATATCAAGAATATTAAAGGTGGAGCATGTCATTTTTGGATATTAAAACACTCATATTGCAGTGTTTAATGTGCAGACAACTGTAATTAATCCATTCATAGTTTGATTCCTTAAAACGATCTGTTTGTGTGGCTGATGGCAAATGGAGGGAATGTTTGAGAAACATGTCTAAAAAGTCATTACTTGAGTCTATATTTTTGCAATTACGACCGAAGCTACTAGAGACACAGAAGTTGCATAATTCTTCTTAAAAGTTATTTGAAATAACAATAGATAATGTCTATTTTGAAAATTCTGAGGTATTTTGTTGTTTTTGTTTCTCATTCCCTTTAGCTGGATGGAGATACTGAGCCATGTATGCGGCCTAAAGGCTACGGTACAAATATTGGCACTAATCAGGCTGTTAATAGGGACTATGAGAAATCTGGCTATGACAAAGGTCACCTCTATCCCGTGCTCCACACCGACAATCATCTGTCAATGCTGGCCACATCCACACTGACCAACGCGGCTCCGCAGAATCCAGATTTCAATCGGAATGCATGGCTAAGACATGAGGAAGCTGTAATTGAAGACCTGGAATCCTGTGATGAGGCAGCTTATGTGGTGACTGGTGTAGTTCCTGACACAAAAACCATACCGAATAAAAAAGTCACTGTGTCAAAGTATTACTGGAGAGCCACCTGCTGTCTGAAGAACAGTCAGTACACTAGGAGCGGAGCATGCACGGTCAGCTTTCGAGCAGCTGATTGTCATCACTGCGAATTACTCTAGCTGCACACGCTCCGCTCTCGCCTGGCTGTGTTTGATGAGAGCGG